CCCGGCCCGGCCTCCCCACCGAGCCGCGGCGCCTGCAGGGGCTGGGGACGCGGGAGCGGCCGGCCGGGACTGGAGCTGCGGGGGATGCCACTGGCCGCTGGCAGGCAGCCACGCGTCCCCGCGCCGCAGCCAGGCTCCCTCTTATACGTGCGTGGCTGTCCGCGGGGGGACGACCTCCACGGCCCCTCCAGACCGCTGGCTGCAGGCCGGCGTCGCCCCCCCAGAGCCCCGTCTAGCTGCGTGCCTGCGCGAGCCCAGCCTGCAGCCCCGCACCAAATGCAAATTGTTTTCATATGTCTGGCAGCCTCCTCCACACCTAATGCCGCCGAAGGCTGTCAAGCTCCCGAGTAAGTGTTGACTCTTGCTTTGAAAATGGTTAATCTAGATAATCCCTTTGAAGATCCAAAAGATACATCACCAGGCAAACACCATATAATCACTTCAGCCCCGCGGTACGTACAGGCACACACCTTCGTGCGGCAGGGGACAATGCCTGCTCTGATTAAGTGTCTGGCTAGCCATTTTTGCCAAGCCTTGCAACCTCGTCGTGACCGCACCAGTCCTATTTTCTACCCCCCGGGTAGAAAATATGCTTTGGTGCAAAGCATAATCCTGAGTATCACGCGCAGGCACACACAGCTGCCCATCTACGAGTACAATCTCTGCAAAAACTACGGGTGCACAACGCACCAGCCCCTCTCCACGCAGAGCTCGGAATATAAGATTTATTTACAACTATTTGAAAAACAAGGGGCTGAGTCCTACCTGTTCTGCCAGTCCTTGGAGTCGCGTAGTTTTTCTCTAATTCCATTCCGATTTTTCAGGACTTGGGTGAAATGGACAGAGAAAAAAGTTTCCCCTTTTTTTTTTTTTTTTTTTTGTGAGGGGCTGCTTGCAGGTTGGAATAATTCAACTCTTCCGCTCCCCGTCGAGCTTTTGCAGCTGATCACTGAGCTGAAACTAAACGTTTTAGGTGGAAAAAAAGCCTCCGAAGGAACCGTGAAATGATTAAGGAACTAAAGAGCTTCTCGCCATGTGAGATCATGTCCTGTTCTCTAAAACATCACAAGATGTCCCCAGACGCAGCCAAAAACCAAGAAACTCTGACATCTGTTATAGCAGGAATCAAAGTTTGTTTGCAACCAACTGCCTTAAAGTATTACTTTGGCTGTTTACAGAGCAGTGTGAGGAAGGCGGAGGCAGAGGGGCGCCTCTGACTTTACTGAAACAAAAATATTCAAGGGTTTTAATGCAGGTTTGGAGAAATAAAAGTGGATAGTTGATCAACTTTTTATCACAATCAACTTCCAGAGCACTAAAGGGGCAACACATCCTAAGGGCTGGAGGCAGCAGCTTGCCAAATCTCCCCCCCCCCCCGCCCCCACCCCATTTTTAACCTACTCGCTAATTAAGTATTATTATCTCTCCGTTCCTTCGAATATTTCCTCTGAACCTGCAATTCCAGAGGCATGGGATGTAGTTTTGCTTGAGTGTAGTAATTGAATGATGCCAAATGGACCAAATCAGAGCCTTGCTAAGGAACGTTTTGTCCCAATTTTGGTTTCTTGCTTTAAGAAGGACCACGTTTCAAAAACACGTCAAATGCCCACGAATTAAAACAAGCACCTTAAGATATATCGTTTTATATTTGTTTGGGGGGGGGAATTAAAGAAAAAAGAAACTGCTGGACTGTTCGAGGGAAAATATTTAATTATAGGGTGTTCTTTAAAATTATATCACAGGAGCAGTAGTAATAATTAGGCACAGCTTAAGTACAGACAATGGTCAAAAGGCCTCAAGAATAAAGGAGAACTCGGTTTCAAGCAATCATTTACTTATTTTTTTTAAGACTGCACTCTGGGAAATACTGCTTCCATTTCTTTAAAAACCGAAAACGATGGCACTTCAAATACTGTGAATTTGCACCGGTCCAATTTTCCAGCCGAAATAAACATTCCTCTATGTGTTTTTTTGTTTTTCTGGCATGTTTGCATCATGCTTTCCTATATCTGTGTGCACAAGCTTGTATTTTGTGTGTGGCTGCAATGCACATACACACAAATGTAGGCCTTGACATTGTAATCAGGAAAAGGATGTTCATTTTTAACAGAAAATTAAAATATGAGACTCAAAATTATTTTAAATAAAAGCTTTTTCACTTGACTCTCCTTCACTGTTATAGTGAATCTGATTAATTTTGAAATATTCATGCCTGTCTAAAATCTACTTGTTCCACAAGCCAGCTAAGCCACGCGCACTTTGCTATCTGCCACTGCAGCTCAACTTGGTATCAAAATAGTTTCTTAATCTAGACCCCTTATTTTTTTTCCCTGAGTGCAGAATAGGTGGATGCTTCAGTGGATACAGTTTTAGAAAAGCGAAAGCCCCTCTCTGGCATATTTAGTGTGGAAAAATAGTGAGAAAGACCGATAGCGATTTAATGGTAAACGATACATTTATGCAAAATGTTCTCGCACCGTGTAAAGGGAGGTGAAGGTATTTTCTAGTGGACTAAACTCCTACCTGCCTCTATTATGGTTAAAAAGGCAGAAAGTGAATCTTTAAGCTCGAGATTTAACTACATTTAGAGGAGGGGCGGGGGGATAGTGCTGCCACTCCATCCTATCTTCAAAGGAGCTCAGGAAGGGAGAAGTTCCTGTGAAGCAGCCATATGAAACCAAAAGAACCAAAAGGACCGAGACGATATTTCTTCTTCGGAAAACACTGCCATTTCTCAATTCTCGCTGCCTGGGTCCCTTTGTCTGTTATTGTGACTGGCTCCAGATGAAACTGTTTGAAAACACGTTGAAAATCCCCTGTCCCTCTATGCTGGGGGCTGCGCTCTGCAGACAACCACGTTGTGGAATCGGACGCCCTTCACCCACAGGGAAAGCCTCCGGCTTGAAATCTTTTGAAAGGCAAAGGGAAGAAAGAGGAGACCTCTTTCTGGCGCAAATCGACGCTCCGCAATTCAGGGTGTATTAGGATTTACAAAAACATGTAATGCCGAAACGGGCATTTTCTCCTCTTGCCCCAACAACATTGCTAAATGCTTTAAAATCTGTCTCTCAGGCATGTGCACATTACATAATGCAGGCGGGTGTGGGGGAAAGTGCGTGTGTGCCTAGCCACACACATTTCTGTTTGCAAAGGCGTGCACCTGCTTTCTAAACGAGAACAGGAACAAAATACAACCCCCCCCCCAACGTTTGATAAAGAAAAATACCCCATGCCCCTGGAAATCAAAGCATATGTACACACACACAAATGTGTGTGTGTGTGTGTGTGTATATTTGTATATGTATATATGTGTGCATATATATATTTGTATATATATGTGTATGTGTGTCTATATATATGTGTGTGTGCGTGTGTCTATGTATATATTATATATTTGTATATGTATATGTATGTAGGTATATATATTCGTGTATATATATGCGTGTGTGTGTATTTTTTGTATGTGTGTGTGTCTATGTACACACACACATATCTATTTGTGTATGTATATATATGTGCGTGTCTACTTATATATGTATATCTATATATAGATATATGGATCTTTGTATCGGGGAGATCTGAGAAATCAGTGCATACGTACATATAGATATACAGATAGATATACATCTATAAGTACATATACATACATATATAGACACATATCTAGATAGATAGATAGATATGCATTGATTTCCCAGATCTTCCCCCCTCAAATACAAAGATCCGGGACTGCTGCTGGAGCCTGGATTCAGGCAATTCCCCCTGCCCCAGCTGGATTCTAAGCACGGTTTCAATCAGCTCTTCCCGGGGCAATTTCAGACGACACCTTGGGCTTTTAAACACCTTCCTGCCCGCCCCGGGTCGGCTTCTCAGGGCAGGGGAGGCGGAGGCAGGCGGAGGGGAGCGCCCTGCGCCCGGGCGGCTGCTGCCTCAGCTTTTAGTTCCCCTTTCCCCAACGCTCTCGGCTCTCATTTGTTTATATAAAAATAAAGCCCCGCAGAGACGCTCTTCCTAGCCCAAAATAAAAGCCCGCGCGGCGGCACGAGGGGCTTGGCGCCGGCCGGCCCAGCGGCTTCCCCGGCCCGCCGGGCGCAGGGGCGAGGACTTGAGCTCCGCTCCCAGGCGGGGCCGAGG